GTATTAGTACCTGTGTGTGCGCGTTGTTTGAGTTATGTCGCATGGTTGGATTCTAAAGCCATCAAAAGAATCAACTTTGTGATTTACTGCTACAATTTATAATTGTCTCAGTAAATGCCCAAACCCTACAGAACTGGTGCCTTCAGAGAGCACATTACAACACTGTCTGCTGTAACATCATCCAGGTGGATGCTGCACATTGGTGGTGGTGGATGAGAATCCCTCTTACCTGTAAAGCACTTTGAGTGGAGTGTTCAGAAAAGCGCTATATAAATGTGAGCAATTGTTAATAATTATTATTTACTAAGACTCATTTGATGTACAACGTCAGGATTTTGTGGATTCCTGTCACAAGATCACACATGCTTCCACGTAGGTATGACAAAAAGCGTGTCTGTCTCACCAAGTCACCGTGATGGTATAGTGGTCAGTCCTTTGCACAGTGACCGCAATACCCCCACTTTGAATCCAGGTGACATCAGCCAAAGACAAGAGAGCTTCCTTCATCTGTTATTTGAGTGAAGGTGGGGAAACCATCTGTGTACTGCAAACAATCATTGAATTGATGTGCTGTCCTACATAAGTGATGCGAAGAAACACTGCTTTACAGAGAAGCACTGCCTGAGTTTACCGTTGGTAAGCTGAAGACCAGTCCGACCTCTTCAGTGACTCTAAAACTCTTAATCTCATGGTTGTGAATTCAAGCTCCACGCTGACAAGAAATTCCATATTTAATTATACGATTTACTTGCATTCTAATACAAATAAATATTATTAAACATTTCCCTATACTAGTTTCACTGTGACTTTGCAGGTGACATGTTCTTTATGAAAATAATGTTTCTTATGCGATCAATAACCACACCAGAAAAAAAATACTGGAAAGAAATGGCATGCCACTAAGGACATTCATTAAGTAAAGCAGAGACATAATGAGAAAATCGGCATAAAGGAAATGTTAATCACTTTGCATGTTCTTTAGCATTTTTTATATACCGAAATAAGTTTAAGGTATTCTAGTCTCTGTACCATTTGTAGATAATCTAAACAAAATCACAGTACAGTACATGCAGTGAGAAGCTCATGCAACGAATACTATTAATCATGATGAGAAAAGGCATACTGCACATCTGTGGGTTATGATGTTTAGTGACAGCTAAATCAGAGATTGTGAACTATGAAGTTTCAGATAACTCTTTTATTAAAGGTTTAAGCAAACCCGAATAACCTTTACAAGAGTCATTTCAGAATCCCAGTCGAATCCAGTAAGATTGCTGGATCCTTCGAATTCAGCTGAACTATAGCACAGATCTGCAGTTCAAAATTAGAATACCGTTGGTGCGTTGTACAAGATATACCTCCCAAAACATTTCTAAAACAGGAAATACATTCTCATTTCAGAATGCAATATACAGAAAGTGGAATGGTCTGGGAAAAGTCCTATGTCTGAACAGTTCAAAATAGATGTACAGACATATTTGTAGACTCTTTCGAAATGTAAGAGCGAAAGCGGTGCCGACCTTTTCTTTATTTACCTTGTTTAATCTTTTTCATAAAGTGTAATTGTATGATAGTATGTGCCCTGACAAAGTTATCGATATGTTATATGTGCTCTTGATTGTACTGTATTATTGTTGCTCAAATAAAAAAGTAATAAAAACTTTCCAAATGCGTGCTGCTATAAAAATTAAATGACGTCAAGGGCGCTGTACTCAGATGCCTGAAGCCTGCTCCACAGAAGAATTATATCCAGAATTACTAAAGAAGTAGAGATTTCACCAAGAGGAAGTCAGGAAATCACCTGTAGTCCTTGCACTGGCTTCCGGTCTAATTCTGTGTAGAATTTAAAATCCTCATGCTCATCTATAAGGCTTTGCATGGCTTGGCACCTCACTACCTGTCTGAACTTTTTTGTCGCCCTACTCCCCACCTCACAACCTTCGCTCTTCTAATTCTGCTCTCCTTACTGTCCCCCAAGCCCATCTACATTGTACGGGTGACAGGGCCTTCTCCTGTTATGCCCCCAAGTTCTGGAACTCTCTCCCCAGGATATCAGAGAGTCACCTTCTCTAAACTCCTTCAAATCCAGACTCAAAACCCTCTTCTTCAGAAAAGCCTTTACTTAACTGGTTCCATTCTTCACCCCTCTGCTTTTCTTAGTACCACCATCCACGGTCTCCTCTTTATATTGTAATTGTGTTTTATCTTGTGTATTCTTCTTATTTATTGTTGTTGTCATCCTGTAAAGCGCTTTGAGAAGCCACCTTTAAAGGTGCTATATAAAATAAAGTTTATTATTATGAGAGAGAAAGCATCTCAGAAAAAGGACACCACTAGATCCGATGACAAGAGCTAAAGTCACCCAGCATTCTCTGAGCAATTAATGAGAGGAACAGACACACCACAGAGAGCAGTGTAGCAGAGTGGTCTAAGGTGCTGGATTAAGGCTTCGGTGCCCTTCGGGTGTGAGTTTGAATCCCACTGCTGCCAGGTGCTTCTGTGAAGACCTGGTTTCTACTGACTTGAAATACAATCTGTGCAAGTGCTTTTTGAGAGTCTCTGGACAAACTTAGCAGTGTTTAAATATAGTTCAAAAGAGATTGTGGGATTTACTTCATACATTCAAAAAGCATACCTCACACAGCAGATTTAAATGGGGAACGGTTCTTCTTCTGTTGTTCCTGTGGTTACAATTACAAAGTTGACTGTGCTTTCACTTTCTGTTACAGTAGTCATTATTCAAGGGTGGGCTTAATCAATTGTCTCAGAAAGGAAACCTCTGCTTTTGGGATCCGGTAAAATCATCTGTAGTGTTTTTTTTTCTTTGCGTATGGCCGTCTTTAAAGCTTGTAAAAATGGCAGCAATATTAATTATTTATCCTCTTTAAAAGAATAAGGATGGGCTGGTTTGAGCTCAATTTGTCACCCTTTCATTTCGCAGCAAAATGCGCAAACTAATTAAGCTGCAGAGACTCTGTCACTTCCCCTCTCCATTTGCAGGGTTAAGGTTAAAGAAAAACATTGCTGGCATTTTCTTGTATTTCAGTACTTCTTCTGCACTGATAAGCAAGATTTGTCTGTCATCTTTTGCAGGATGTATCAATTCAAGAAAAACAAGTTGTTCCAGAAAGGAAATGAACACTGGCATTAAACTAAATTAAACTGTATGTGATTGTCCATTGTGATACATTCTGTACAGCAAAACAGGAAGTGAGGCTCAACTGGGAATCGGACCCAGGATTTCTGTTTACTACAGGCGCTTTAACTAACTAAACCACGGCGCCAGCCAAGCATTGCATCTTTACAACCACTTGGACACACTGAGACCTCTGCATTCAGCTTGCACTGAGCCTGCTCCCTAAACAAAAGAAAAGATGAGAAATTATTTTATCTGGCGTTTTCTTATGTCCGAGGATCTCAAACTACTTTCCGTGAACAAGATGACATCCTCTACACCGCCCTTTAAGCACAAGGCTTGGTGGCTTGACTTCTCCAAAGGAAAATGACCTTCCAGAACAGGGAAAGATGATCATCCTGAGCGCGCCAACTCATGTCTGGAGAAGGTTAAGGTG